TAATATCCAATATTCTTGATCTTATCAAATTACAATTTAATTTACTCAAAATCCTGCCATAAACCCTACCTTTAAATTTAATGATTGATTTATCTTTGAGTCAGTACCACAGTATACAAATACTAACTAATTATCTAGGTCTACAAGACAGCTCTTACTACTCTTACTTCTTTATTACAGGGCCGGTAGGAGTTGGTAAATCATTATTATCTACTTGTTATTAAATTATCTTCAAAAAAATAATCATAACTATTTGTTGTTGGCTCTCACAGGTATTGCTATACAAAATATGATAAAATAACTATATACTTTGCATTAAAAATTATATTTAATGAATGAGGTTTTCATATATTTGCTTTTCATAACTCTAATTTCAGTAATGTTTTTCATCAAATTCGTATACTTATTATCAATGAAATTTTAATAGTATTTAGTTCAATGCTAACTTATATTTCTGAATTATTTGAATTTCTTTATAAAAACAATTGTCTATTTAGAGGCATAAATATTATAGTAGTAGGTGACCTAGCATAATTATCACCAGTCTGTGGCTCTCCTATATACAAATCACAAATATAAAAAATTTTCTATCTCTTATTCTTATGCAAACCCAATAACAAAACCAAGATATAAACTTTTTTAATCTTTTGTAAAAAATAAGAATGTTATAATTAGGGTTTGGGTCCCATAGCTTAGCAGTTAAGCTCCCAACCTCCACAGACTAGATCAACAGTTCGAGTCAGGCTAGAGGCAAATTTTAATAAAATTTGCTTCTGTAATCTATGGGAGCCATAAAATCGAACGCGAAGCCCTGTGAAAGTCCAAGTGTAGTACAAAACCAGAATAAGAAGTTTTCAGAAGGAGACCAGATTATGGAGTATAGGCATTACGTGTAATAGCAGCATCACAGAAAGTTAGATTATACGGAAGATCACGCAAATTAGTCCTCTGGTTGGGGTGACCTGGAGGCAGTACCAACATCCCTACATTCAACTTGTGGAGTACTTGCTTGGAAGGGTGATACGAAGGTAGCCAAAACTGGAGTAGTAAATGAAGTGGTGATATATAACTATGGGTTGTGATAAAGGATCATACCTTAACTGGAATTGAAAGCACCTCTGGCCCTGCGAAACAACCTACTATAGAAGGTTACTTGACGTAAAGGGCATACCTATCTCTGTATGATTAAATGTACCAAATTGGAGCTCTGGTCACACCTATATGGAAGTCTATAACGAAAAGAGTTAAGGATTTGCCAGTATAAATGCTGCACCAACTAGGGTTGAGATATCCCAAGTTGGAAGTTGTACAATATGTATAACGAAGGCCAATGGCTAGAAGTATATCAGTTACCATATATGAAACAAGTTCCTAACAAATACTATAAAAGGAAGTACAAAGGAATAGAAAATGTATACAAGCACATGAAAGACCAAAAAAGGGACAATAAAAGACCTGTGGATGGCAAACCGGCGGCGGCAGCAGGTCCCTGGCTTGAGATACGGGTTAGTAGTACCTGGACAAATGAGTGGGAGGATTAGGTATTCATAGAAATGAAGGAATACAAACTGGTGTAACACAGTCAGCGCAAACTCAAGATAAGTTTTAATCTATCAGGTAGTACCAACTTTGTCATATGGTGAATCTAACTAAGCAGCAGAGACCTGGCTTGAGATATGTGCACGAGAGGCTCTCGGCAGGCACACCAATCTGGGAGGTCTTTAGGGACCAATTATCTGAATGAACCAAATTGTGAATTACTGAGGTTTGATTGTAGATTATAGAGAGAATATGGTTGTGTAACTAAAATTAGTTAGTTGTGAAGCACAAAAACCAGATAATACGAAGATGAGATACAGAATACTCTGGTAGGTTTAGATCACAGATAAAGTAGTCTGAGCCCCGTATTCGAAAAATTAGTTCAGTTAGTAGGTGCATGAGTGGGCAACAAGGTTGTATAGTAGTGTACAAACTTAAGAATTAATAATAAAGATACAAGAGATATGATCTCACCTTAAAAAAAAAAAAAAAAAAAAAAAAAAAAAGAATGTTATAATTAACAACTATGTATAGCAAATACTATTACAAAAAGAAAATAAAACAACAACAAATGATTCTGTTTAAGAAAGCAAATTTTTTATATCAAATTGTACTGATATTTATGATGACCAAACTTGTAATAATAATATAATGTATTATCTGTTCAAAAACAGGACAAATCTACTCACAACAGTAAGAATCTAACCTGATGCAAGAGTTATGTTTTTAAATAATACTTAATATAGAAACTGTATTGCAAATAGCATTATGAGCATTATAACTGATATTTATTTAAATTTAGAACTTGTCTATATTAGCTTTTATATTAAAAATGCAATTGTTAATGTTCTTTTTCCAAATATACTGATAACTTTTTTCTTAACTATATATGCCACTGAAATAGGTTTTTAAAAAACTCCTAAAATATTTCGTCTTCATTAGAGCAATTTGAAATTTTTTATATACAATAGCAAATCTAATTTAGGTAGTTATGTTCTTTATAATTTTGTCTTTTCAAAAAAAATGTCAAAAAATTTTATCTTTTAAGTAAAATAGATCAAAAACAATTTTGTCTTCAAATTTTAATTTTGTATTCCGAAATCTAAAATAATTTTGTCAGCATTTATATTCTTAACAGAATGCCTGCTAGTTGTATACAATACTCTATTCAAAACATATTTGCCCTTATAGTTCATAAAACCCAAGAATTGACTCTTGAAGATGTATCACTAAATCTAGATAATCAACTGATCAATTCTATATAGCATTAAGTTGTTATACCAAGTGGAACTATATTAAAATACAATCCTTAAGGATAGAGAGTACGATTTGTAAATTATATATAAAATCGGTAGTATTTTGTTTTATTTTAAAATTAAACAAAATTATATTAGAAAAATTAGTTTTATAGTTTTAAATAAAATTGTAAAGTAGGCTTTTCTGATTTTAATAATAACAAAATTATTAAATTAGGATTAAAACTTAGCAAGATAAAATTATAGTATTGTAAAGTTTAGATAATGTTAACAAAGATCATATAATATCAGCCAATCAGAATCGGATATTTTGTACTATCTAGAAAATTTTGAGGTTTTCTATTGTAGAAAAACTTTACAATATATACAAGTATGTTTTTTTAAATTAATATTGTCCCTAAAAGTTTGACTATTTATAAATAGGGGTTTGTATCTACAAGCTATGAAATTTTGATAAAAATTAATTGTGGCTTTAAAAAATTTTATCAGTGACACATTTTTGTTATCTATATAAAGTTTCGATCTACTATGCAGGTCATATGAAAATGATCGACAACCCTTAAACGACTCCACCAGAAGTCTAGACGCTTTTGCAATAACATGATGTGGCGTATCGTGGCACATTTGGATAAGCTTTTTTGGCTTTATGTTATGTTTCTGGTTAGGGTTCGTGGTTATAAACCTTTAAAGATCATTCCTATATGTAAAATTATGCTCCTGACATTTCTTGTTAGTGACTAAAGGCCGATTTAAACACTAGTTTTTGAGTATTTTCGCTTTTTTCTCTTTTTTTCTTCTTGTACACGTGTTTTGTTTTGACGTCAGGCTGATCTGGGACGATCAAAATTTACGCATCCCGATTGGCCATTTCTCATGCGCCACATCACGTTACTGCAAAAGTGTCTAGACTAGAGATGCAGGTGAAACTAAATCACACTGGTGAAACTGGTGACTATCTAAAATCTGATTGGCTATTGCATTCAATAGCCAATCAGATTTTAGATAGTCACCAGTTTCACCAAGTTTCACCAAGTTTCACCAGTTTCACCAGCAACTCTAGTCTAGACTCCTGGTGGGGTTCCCTTAAACCGTGCCGCATTCATGACAGATCCATCTATGGTAAAAGAATATGAACGATTAGAGAATATTGCAAACGAACCATTACTACTAAACAGAATCTAAATATCTAAAAAATCATTCTTTACCAACATACCTCACTAACATAAATATGACCTAATTTATTATCAATTATAAAATATATACTTAATATATATACATTATTGCAAAATAAAAAAAGCCCAAATAATATGTCAAAAAACCAACAATACCAAAAATATATACATTAGATAAAATACTACACTAAAACAAATAATTCTTCGTAAACTTCAAAATATTATTAATAAAAATATTCTGAACCGTTAAATAAAAACAAAAATATATCTTTGCTAGATACACCACGCACTTAATTTAACAATAAAAATATATATTTTTAACAAAAATCATTTCTGATCCTTTTACTACAAAGTCACCCAAGTAAAACAATTATTACCTGACTTCACAACTTTATAAACCCAACACTTCTTACCAATAAAAAAAATATTAACATTAACAGGCCAAACCTTTAAACGCTAAAACAATTAAACTCAATCCAAATCACGATTAAATCAAAATACTCAATTTATAATCCAAATAACGTGATCACATAACCTCGCAACAATCGCAAAAAAATCTTCATAAAGCAACTTAAAAAATAAAGAAATAAAAATACATAACAATAACAAATAAAAATAAAAATATATTAATTCCTTGAATACTTAAAAACCTAAAAATACTTATCTTTCAACTGCAATCATAATCAAAATTACTAATAAGCAAAATAAATGGGATGTTCTATAGAATAGGTGGCAAACTCCGCCAACTCCGCAACTCCGATATTAAAAAATTAATGATTACTAATCATTAGCGAAGCTTATTTCTTATATTGCCCACCTATTCTATAGAACATCCAATAAATGAACATGCACAAAATTTTTAAATCAATTATTTTTAAACTCCCTTATACCACAAATAAATAAAAAATAAAAAATCCATAAATTACAAAAATTTTCTAATAACTAACTTCTAATCTTTGGGCAAAATATCCACATGAAATTTAACTTATAATGTTCACCTACATTTATATAAAAAATTTATAAAACAAATGATTTAAATTTCTAAACAAAAATATTCCAATTTAACTTAACGCTAAACCTGGCGGCGAAGCCGCCCAAATGTGCTACACTAGTTAATGTTAAAAAAATGAAAAAATACTAGATGAAGCTTATAAAATTTAAGATTTGTTCTGAAGATTCCTGCTTTTTTTCTTATTTAATCTTTCTTCACGCAAAGGTGGGTTTATATCACTTACCTTTCTGGTTCCTCTGGTTGGCGATGAAACAGCAGGGCTTGGGTGGACATTTCGGGGTAGGAAACTATCGGCTTGTTCTAATTCCTTCATTAGTAAACTCTTATTCATATTCCTTAAGATGAATAATAGACGAATAAGAGCTTTAGTGTGTAATAAATGTAGTGATAATAGTGATAATGGAATTTCGGCATGGTCGAGATGAAAATATCTTGGTATGCCACCCAAGCCTCTCACAAGAACATTTAATCGTATAGTAGTTCCTGCCACCTGAATTCCAACAACCCCGAACTGATTACCAGTTGGCCTACACAATGAATCTATAAAGCTCATTCCATCCAAAGTCTCTCTCCATAATTTAACGTTATCATCATCCTTCCTCTACAATCTTTCATCATGGTTCAGCAACCCCATGATATTGAGTTTCTTTCCCATTCGTTCTTTGTCCACTCCTGCATTTCTTCGAGCCTTGCTTGCTATGCTCTGGCGTTCTGCGGTACTTAAGCAGATACTGCCATTGAGTAGGTTCCCCAAACTAGATCGAAGCAAGGGCATTATAATATCCGAAATATAAGTTCCCTCACTTTGTTCGCTACGCGATACACTACTCTCAAATGCAGGATTGCACCAGATTTCACCACTAATAAAGGCGTGTTAGGATATTTATAAATACTAATTACTTAGGAATTGGAATACTTACAGTGTATTAAGAATGCGTTCAGTAATTTCTAACAATTTTCTATCGCTTTCTTTCCATGTTTTGTCATGAAAAATATTTCTTGTGTCCTGTGAAGTGGCAGAATTATTGAAATTACCCATAAATTCATCACATTTTGCTTTAACTGATTCAGAAACAGTGCATTTCATATTTTCTCGCGGTTCTAAAAAAACATCTCTCTGTCTACGTCCCAGTTTTTTTATGATTTTCGAATCGTCACTAAGCACCATATTTGCTTCATAATCTCGCCACGTAAGTTCTAAAGGATTTAAATTTTCGAGAATCTGCCTGAGCGAACCGTAAAGATTTACATCTCTTTCAGATTTTGGATGCTAAATATATAAACATTAATTTTTGATAAAAATTATGTCATTCTATCAAACAACCCGAGACATACATCAAGCTTCTTTTTTAAATTCTCAATATTTTTTACAATCTCATTTTGTTTATCGTCCGAAGATAATTCTTTTCCATATTTAGCGCTTTGAATGCTTTCAAACCTTGAATACTAATATATCCACTTACAATCTATGGTAAATATAATAATAATCAGTACCGGTACATTAAGCAAATCTCAAATACTACGCCCCGCACATGTGCGTTTTCAAAAACTTAGATATCATAGTTTTTGGCTGGATAGTCACGCACAGTTAGAGAGGAGCAAACTCTCGACATCGAGAAGACATCGCTCTTCTGAGCTGGCATTCCCCAACCTACAGCTATGACATACCAAAACTAATATCTATATTTACCATAGAGTCATCATCAAATGTCAAAGACTTGGGTAATAAATTATAATTTACTGTATACTAATCTGATCTGATAGTTTTGAAACTTTTGTCTTTCGCTCGATTTCTTCTATTTTAGGTAGGGAATTACGTACTGCACAGTCTACTATATCTCTCACACATTCAAGCAGTGATGGCAAATGACAAGGTCATAAAAATTTTTATGAAATTAAATAAAAATGACATGTCATTTTAAATTGACAATGTCATTTTTCCTAAAAAAAATTATATAAAGTCATGGCAAAATGACAATGACAAATCATTAAAATTATTTTTATAAATGACATTATAAATGACAAATAAATGACACCATCTATTGTTAATATTATTACCTATATTACGTTTAAATTATTAATTCCCTCTACTAAAATAGAAGAAATCGAGCGAAAGACAAAAGTTTCAAAACTATCAGATCAGATTAGTATACAGTAAATTATAATTTATTACCCAAGTCTTTGACATTTGATGATGACTCTATGGTAAATATAGATATTAGTTTTGGTATGTCATAGCTGTAGGTTGGGGAATGCCAGCTCAGAAGAGCGATGTCTTCTCGATGTCGAGAGTTTGCTCCTCTCTAACTGTGCGTGACTATCCAGCCAAAAACTATGATATCTAAGTTTTTGAAAACGCACATGTGCGGGGCGTAGTATTTGAGATTTGCTTAATGTACCGGTACTGATTATTATTATATTTACCATAGATTGTAAGTGGATATATTAGTATTCAAGGTTTGAAAGCATTCAAAGCGCTAAATATGGAAAAGAATTATCTTCGGACGATAAACAAAATGAGATTGTAAAAAATATTGAGAATTTAAAAAAGAAGCTTGATGTATGTCTCGGGTTGTTTGATAGAATGACATAATTTTTATCAAAAATTAATGTTTATATATTTAGCATCCAAAATCTGAAAGAGATGTAAATCTTTACGGTTCGCTCAGGCAGATTCTCGAAAATTTAAATCCTTTAGAACTTACGTGGCGAGATTATGAAGCAAATATGGTGCTTAGTGACGATTCGAAAATCATAAAAAAACTGGGACGTAGACAGAGAGATGTTTTTTTAGAACCGCGAGAAAATATGAAATGCACTGTTTCTGAATCAGTTAAAGCAAAATGTGATGAATTTATGGGTAATTTCAATAATTCTGCCACTTCACAGGACACAAGAAATATTTTTCATGACAAAACATGGAAAGAAAGCGATAGAAAATTGTTAGAAATTACTGAACGCATTCTTAATACACTGTAAGTATTCCAATTCCTAAGTAATTAGTATTTATAAATATCCTAACACGCCTTTATTAGTGGTGAAATCTGGTGCAATCCTGCATTTGAGAGTAGTGTATCGCGTAGCGAACAAAGTGAGGGAACTTATATTTCGGATATTATAATGCCCTTGCTTCGATCTAGTTTGGGGAACCTACTCAATGGCAGTATCTGCTTAAGTACCGCAGAACGCCAGAGCATAGCAAGCAAGGCTCGAAGAAATGCAGGAGTGGACAAAGAACGAATGGGAAAGAAACTCAATATCATGGGGTTGCTGAACCATGATGAAAGATTGTAGAGGAAGGATGATGATAACGTTAAATTATGGAGAGAGACTTTGGATGGAATGAGCTTTATAGATTCATTGTGTAGGCCAACTGGTAATCAGTTCGGGGTTGTTGGAATTCAGGTGGCAGGAACTACTATACGATTAAATGTTCTTGTGAGAGGCTTGGGTGGCATACCAAGATATTTTCATCTCGACCATGCCGAAATTCCATTATCACTATTATCACTACATTTATTACACACTAAAGCTCTTATTCGTCTATTATTCATCTTAAGGAATATGAATAAGAGTTTACTAATGAAGGAATTAGAACAAGCCGATAGTTTCCTACCCCGAAATGTCCACCCAAGCCCTGCTGTTTCATCGCCAACCAGAGGAACCAGAAAGGTAAGTGATATAAACCCACCTTTGCGTGAAGAAAGATTAAATAAGAAAAAAAGCAGGAATCTTCAGAACAAATCTTAAATTTTATAAGCTTCATCTAGTATTTTTTCATTTTTTTAACATTAACTAGTGTAGCACATTTGGGCGGCTTCGCCGCCAGGTTTAGCGTTAAGTTAAATTGGAATATTTTTGTTTAGAAATTTAAATCATTTGTTTTATAAATTTTTTATATAAATGTAGGTGAACATTATAAGTTAAATTTCATGTGGATATTTTGCCCAAAGATTAGAAGTTAGTTATTAGAAAATTTTTGTAATTTATGGATTTTTTATTTTTTATTTATTTGTGGTATAAGGGAGTTTAAAAATAATTGATTTAAAAATTTTGTGCATGTTCATTTATTGGATGTTCTATAGAATAGGTGGGCAATATAAGAAATAAGCTTCGCTAATGATTAGTAATCATTAATTTTTTAATATCGGAGTTGCGGAGTTGGCGGAGTTTGCCACCTATTCTATAGAACATCCCATTTATTTTGCTTATTAGTAATTTTGATTATGATTGCAGTTGAAAGATAAGTATTTTTAGGTTTTTAAGTATTCAAGGAATTAATATATTTTTATTTTTATTTGTTATTGTTATGTATTTTTATTTCTTTATTTTTTAAGTTGCTTTATGAAGATTTTTTTGCGATTGTTGCGAGGTTATGTGATCACGTTATTTGGATTATAAATTGAGTATTTTGATTTAATCGTGATTTGGATTGAGTTTAATTGTTTTAGCGTTTAAAGGTTTGGCCTGTTAATGTTAATATTTTTTTTATTGGTAAGAAGTGTTGGGTTTATAAAGTTGTGAAGTCAGGTAATAATTGTTTTACTTGGGTGACTTTGTAGTAAAAGGATCAGAAATGATTTTTGTTAAAAATATATATTTTTATTGTTAAATTAAGTGCGTGGTGTATCTAGCAAAGATATATTTTTGTTTTTATTTAACGGTTCAGAATATTTTTATTAATAATATTTTGAAGTTTACGAAGAATTATTTGTTTTAGTGTAGTATTTTATCTAATGTATATATTTTTGGTATTGTTGGTTTTTTGACATATTATTTGGGCTTTTTTTATTTTGCAATAATGTATATATATTAAGTATATATTTTATAATTGATAATAAATTAGGTCATATTTATGTTAGTGAGGTATGTTGGTAAAGAATGATTTTTTAGATATTTAGATTCTGTTTAGTAGTAATGGTTCGTTTGCAATATTCTCTAATCGTTCATATTCTTTTACCATAGATGGATCTGTCATGAATGCGGCACGGTTTAAGGGAACCCCACCAGGAGTCTAGACTAGAGTTGCTGGTGAAACTGGTGAAACTTGGTGAAACTTGGTGAAACTGGTGACTATCTAAAATCTGATTGGCTATTGAATGCAATAGCCAATCAGATTTTAGATAGTCACCAGTTTCACCAGTGTGATTTAGTTTCACCTGCATCTCTAGTCTAGACACTTTTGCAGTAACGTGATGTGGCGCATGAGAAATGGCCAATCGGGATGCGTAAATTTTGATCGTCCCAGATCAGCCTGACGTCAAAACAAAACACGTGTACAAGAAGAAAAAAAGAGAAAAAAGCGAAAATACT